ATGGAAGGGTTGCCACTTCACGGTGGGACAAAGTCAAGGTAGATGTTTGAGTCTTTTAGAAGAGTGAATACACTTCTGGGCTATATCAAGGATACTGAAGACATTGTATGTAAATTCTGACCGCGATCGCCATTTCCCAGATCAGGGTGCTGCCGCTCCTGCTCACTGAGTACCACACAGGGTAATTACTACTCACTTGTACTAGATAAGTTTTCAGATGATGGTCACTGACCTGGAAAACATCACCTAGGAAGCCCTGTGCTCAGGTTATACCGAGTAATGTTCCTACCTATCCATCTAGACCTCGGGATGCTCAGTCAGCAATCAGATCGCACCTGGGCATTGACCCTGTCCACGGGACCATACCCCGGACCCACTCTGGTCCTGACCCGCAGCGACCCGCACCCGCCTTACCCGATTAGGCCGAGTGAATTTGATAACTATGTTGTGCAGATGTAAGCTACGTTGCGCGTAAAATCGATGTATAAGTTACACATTTTGCCTGTCTGTCTTATTAAGCCCAGAAAAATGGAGGGTAAGTGCCAGCTTCGGGAGAAGCCAGGTCGAATGATATAACATCCTTACGTAGTATAGATACATAGTTGCGGTATGATCGGAATTTAAAGGTAGCTTTCACCGGGTAAATTTAGTCCAGTAGCTATATGGTCCCAGCAGAGCATGGAAGCAGGGTCCTGATTGGTAAAATCCGGTGTCTATGGCCGCTCGAATGATAGCACTCCGCCCGACACAGGCAAGAGAAACAGTGATATAACCGGGGTTGGATAGTGTTTCACTGCACCTGAAGCTACTTTCTAGCCCGGAGGAAGGTTGAGAGGAACAAGCGGTTCCCACTCTAGTTATATATTTTGCTCATAGTTAATGCGGCCAACGTTCATGGTTTTGTTTAGAAATCGGGCTAAACCGGTTCGCTTCCCGAGTATTCGATATTGCTGTAGTAAAAACTTCATGAGGACGTATTTTGATGTCTCGGGTGCCAACATTGTCTTGTAAATGCGTCGACTCGGGGGACTCTATGAGAGAATTTTGACCTGAAGTTATCATCCTGCGCGTTAATATGTCCACGCTACCCATAGCCGAGGGACCTACCGTATTGAGTCTAATCATGGTTAGGCTCTGAATTGTTGACCAAGAGGACCGAGAAAGGAATTGTCTACATAATAGTACATAGTGGCCAGTTGGCTAAAAGTGGCCTTGAAATTAAGGCGTGTACGAATAAAGGCGGTGTGGATATAACCTTGCTTGTGCCTGAGCTCATCCCGCAGTTCGGCCGTGATGCCGTCTTGATCTTTAATTCCAGAGCCTTCACTTTGCACTGGAAATAAGGATCGGCTGTACCAGGATGCTTTTTGCTAGATTGACGCACCCATCCTTTCTATCATCGTCTTCTTAACATCCCATCTCGACCTCGACCTCCGTCCTCTCGCATATCACTTTCCTTTAGCTCTCTGCACTTGTCTACCTTGACACAAGAACAAGGTACAGGGAGCTCTCTGTTATTGAACAACAAGTATCATACCCCGAAGGAGTCATTGCCGCTCATTTGTCTTGAGGTCACTGTATCTGCATCTCGCCACAATGCCTGGTCTACCAAGTATGTGCATGGTTTTTTTGATTCCATGATATGGTTGTCTCCGTGGTTATGTTAACCTATTGCTTCACAGCGAATATCGATCTAGATGAGTGCATCACTCGGCTCTACAATAAAGAGCTGCTCGCAGATTCGGTGATCGAGGCAATCTGCCTCAAGGCGAAGGAACTCTTGATGAAGGAGAGCAATGTGGTACATATTGCTGCTCCAGTCACTGTGGTCGGCGATATCCACGGCCAATTTTTTGATATGATCGAGATTTTCAGGATCGGTGGCCGCTGTCCTGATACAAATTACCTATTCCTCGGTTAGTCACACGCATAATACTCTGTTCGGGGATGGAAGCAGGCCTCAGCTTGAACCCATTTGTTGCTCGCTTTTGGTATGAAGTTTTGCTGATGGGAGAATCGACAGGCGATTATGTCGACCGTGGACTTTTTAGTGTGGAGACCATCTCACTTCTCGTGTGTCTCAAGTTACGATACCCTCAACGAGTGCACCTCATCCGCGGTAACCACGAGTCGCGCGGAGTCACCCAATCATACGGCTTCTACACTGAGTGCGCGCGCAAATATGGCAACGCTAACGTCTGGCATTACTTCACCGACATGTTTGACTTTTTGACACTGAGCGTTGTGATTAACGATGAGATATTTTGCGTACATGGCGGCTTGTCACCTTCCATCCATTCGATTGACCAAATCAAGATTATCGACCGTTTCCGCGAGATTCCACACGAAGGTCCCATGGCCGATTTGGTCTGGTCTGACCCCGATACAGAACGCGATGAATTCTCACTCTCTCCCCGCGGCGCCGGATACACTTTTGGAGCGCAGGTTGTGCGGAAGTTCCTAGAGGTGAACAGCATGTCCCACATCCTACGCGCACACCAACTCTGTCAAGAAGGCTACCAGGTTCTTTACGATGATCGCCTGAGCACGGTCTGGAGTGCACCTAACTATTGTTACCGCTGTGGAAACCTGGCTAGTGTGCTCGAAGTGAGTGACTCTGGCGAGCGGTTTTTCAATGTTTTTGATGCTGCACCAGAGAACGATGCCCATCGCCTTGAACAGCTGGGCCAGCAGCAGCAGAGCAAGGATGGCTCTGGTCCAATTGTCGACTACTTCTTGTGAATCTCTGAATCTTCTCGTGATACCCATTGGTTACTGTTACTGTTAATGTTTGATTGACGTTAATGTTTATGTATTTCAAATTTTTTTCTTTCTAACCCTAGCACTAGACAGGAGTTCGGGATAAGGCTGCGCTTTTACAAACAGCTAGATGTGCTACTTGGTATCTATGAAAATATCATACACCAATAAGTGAGACTTAGTATGACGCATAAACAATAAAACAGGAATCCAAAGCATCAGCCCCAGTGGGACACATCTCTAACAGTTTTGTCAAAGAAAGAAACTCATCACGCTTTGAAAACAAACGGCCGCTCAATAACAACGAGATAGCTCTCTCAACCCATGTTTACCAGTCCTTGCCAATGTCAAAAGACCACTCGAACAGCAGGTGAGTGTGCTGGTCATCATCAATGAACTTTGAGACGGCGTTGTAGTGGCCACGGGCGATCATGCCAGACGGGGCCTCCTCCTCGTTGACTAATAGGGAATAGTATTAATAAAAGCCATACTTGAAAACATAGAAATAGAAGCCAGGTTTGAATACTCACATTCCTTGGAGTAGTCAACCTTGCTGGTGGTGTTGGGCGCGTAGCTGCCCAGCATCTCCTCATCCTTGCTGACCCGGATTCCCTTACGCTTGACGACCTGCAGGTACTTGAGACCACTCAGGACTTCGTGGTGAACCTGGAAGGTAACCTTGATGTGGAACTTGGAGCCCTCCTTGATCTTGAAAGGCTTATCCTTGAGGCTGTCAACTGAGCCCGGGGAGGACAGGTCGATAATAACATCCTCCCGCCCGTCGACCTGCAGAGCCAAGGACTTGATGATACACTTGCGAGGATCATTGGGATCGGCAATGGGCTCACCGGAGTTGAGACCCAAAGACGCCTTCCAACGGTTCATAGCTTCATCGTCCTTGTCTATTGCGGGGGAAAGAAAGACGGTTAGCTGGGGAGATCAGGGCTAGACATTGCCGATGCATTGCAGATCACTCAACGTACCGAGCTCCTTGTACTCATCGAGTGTCTTCTTCTCTCCGACCTTGAAACCCTCAGTGGTGGTGGAAGCGAGCTCATCGTCATGGTGGTCGGCCATTGTTTACAGATTAAGAAAGCGGGGGCACTGAACCAAGGGTTGAAGTTCGGGGAAGTGATGTCGTGGAAAAGGGGTAAGTTGGACAGTGAGGAAAAAGGAAAAACAAATTGGAAACTCGAAATGATAAAGGAAAGTGAAAAGGGCTAAAGCTCGAATAGTCTCCTGAGACCTTGGTGGGGGTAGAAAGGCGGTGGGAGAGGGGCGAGGCTATTCGGATTCCCACTTCTGTACGGAGTACTCCATATGCACGTTTACGCACTGTTGATCCTGCACGCTTATATTGGCCAGGAGTTTGGATTGCCTGGATTGTGTGGGCCAGGCTATGCTTTCTACAGCATTGTATGGATTGTAGAAGAGAATTGGGACGAGCGTATGTATACTCCGTAAGACCCCAACTATGCCCCAACTAGGTGTGGGGGCCGATGATCAGACCACTGGAGGTACGGAGTACATACGTAGTTGCCCGCGTTTAGGATGTATGTACAACATAGATTGTAGGTTTGTTGCGAAGAATGTACTCTATATAAAGCACGTAGGATGCGTTGATAGATATGTAAACATACATACCTATATGTACTCCCTGGAAAAGTAGGGAGGGTTTCTGTAAGCAATTCAATGCAGTATGGAGACAGTGCATATAATCACACTCACATATAGAAACAATGTCCTGTAAACATGCTCCAGTATCTCCGCATTCCCAGTAGATGAAGATCAAAGTCCAAAGAAGGAAATGTTGGCCCGAAATGTAAAATGTCACGGGGCCAAATGAGATACAGTGGAGTAAATCCGATACTGTGTCTGAGAGTAATTGGCCAACCAGACTCCTCAAATACCACACATGACCACCCATTTACCGGACCTTACCGGAACAAGTCAAGCTTCAGAACGACGCAACGATTATTCGCGACTCGCATCTTCTCTCTCCTGATTGTCTTCTTTATCTTGGGTGACCTTTTTTTTTTTTTTCCCCCCCGTTATCAATCATAATTTTGGTTGTAAGGTTCTCTACCAAGATACAGGATCGGTCGGTAAATATTTGATCCTTTGATTTTTATCGCTTGACGCGCCTGCTACGTGGCCAACGTTGGCGCATCTTTCCTTCAAAGAACACCCGCACGATCCTCTAAGATTCATTCCCACTTCACTCGAGATCCATCCCCACCATGTCGCGATCACTTCCAAAGCAGTTTAATCCACTCATCACGGTCGAGGTTGCTCCCACTTGTAAGTACAAACACTGGCGCGTGGTGGCGCGACCGCGCGCATCGGCTATCTACCCGCCCCGTGCTGCCATCGCTAACCATTTCGTGTTACTCTCGATTACAGATGACGAACTCCTTGCGCGCCGTCGTCTTGGACAAACCAACCTCTCCGTCAAGGCGGCCCAGATTGGCACCTCAAATGCCACCAAGCCGGAGAACCTAGGCGTATTCGAGTATGCTCACCTCCGTGCTCCGCTGCCCAAGGATCTCGAGGGCTCTGAGATCTTCCCTTCCCACACCTCCCAGCAACACCCAGAAAGCTACTTCCTGATGGTGAGACCCCTTGTTTTGTTTATTTTGGAGGCCGACGGTCATTAACTTCGGGCCTCATCATTACAGCGCCGTAGTAAAGATGGCTTTGTTAGCGCGACTGGAATGTTCAAAATTGCATTCCCATGGGCGAAGGCCGAGGAAGAGAGAACAGAGCGTGAGTATCTGAAGGCTCGCGAGTACACAAGCGAGGAGGAAGTTGCTGGAAATGTGTGGATCTCGCCCTTATTTGGTATGTTCTGCCTGGGATGTTCTCTCTATCAAACAAAGCCTGACTTCATACCTAGCCCTTGAGCTCTCCAAGGAATACCAAATGTACGATTGGGTGCGAGCACTGTTGGACCCAACGGACATTCCTTCCAGCGCAAAGAAGCATATCACCCCTCCGCCGAAATTCGAAATTCCCTCCGATGAGCCCCCCGTGTCGCAGCGCAACCGCAGAGGTCGGTCCGCTTCTCCGAGCAAGAGGTTGGCGTCTCCTCGGAAGTCTCGTAGCACCCGCCTCGCCAACGATGTCACTAACACCCCGTCTACAATCGCTGCAAACGCTAGCCTTCAGTCGGCATTAGATATCTCAGCTTCAGGCCTCTCGGACACGATTCCTGAGTTGCGAGCTGTGGAGGCTGAAATGGAAGTGAGGTCGAGCGGATCTCCTGGAAAGAAGATCAGAGTGCGCAAGTCAACGAGATCTAATACGGCGGAGCCCGAAGAGGAGAAGAAGGAGGAGAAGAAGGAGAAGAAGAAGGCCGAGAAGAAAGAGAAGAAGAAGGAGGAAATCAAGGAACAGGATGAGAAAGCCGAGGTATTACTGACCGATGGTGCCACCGATGCTGTCAAGTTTACCCACACTACTGTTTCCTTGGATATGCCCATTAGTCTCCCAGAAGTGCCATCTGCTGCGGAGACTGAAGAGATGATCGCCCAGGCTAAGGAGATGGTGGAAGAGGCTATCAAGGCGCATGCCGAGGGCGCTACTGTGGAGTCGACATCCATCAAGGCGACTGGCAAGCGCAAGGCCGAGGACGATGACGATGAAGAGACATCGGCTGAATCTTCCCAACGAGCCAAGAAAGCCAAGGTGCTTGAGAACAAGCTCAAGCAGGAGCGTGTCCGCAACCGTTCTATCTTTGGTGTCTCTGTGGCCTTTGCCCTTGCGTAAGTCATCCCATGCCACGAAGATCCCGAATCAATCCTAACCTATATAGGGCCTCCATCCCATACTTCTTCTAAACAGAATGAGGTTTTGCTTGACAAAGTCCAGTTTGTTTGAAATTTTAGTCTTCTCTTTTCGGCGGGTTTGTCGCTTGCGACAGCCCAGCTACCCAAATATTCGCTTCTGATGCCCAATTCCCCTTGTCGTTACCATAAATATATTCCTCGCTGGTTCTGAGTGCCCTCTGCCTGTTATTGACACCATTTCCTAATATCTTGCCTCCCCTCCCTCTCCCTGTGTTTTGCACCAGTCTTGGTTATTTGGATTGCCTTTAGCTCATTTTATGCCCCTTGCCCTTGCTCTCCTGATACCAACTTTCCCCCTCTCCCACATTCTACTGCCCTCCAAGTAGTCAAGGACGATTGCTCAATGACAGTGATATGCTTCAATGTTACCAATTATGTTTCTTGTAGGTTATCATCTGTTTTGATGTAATCTTGGTATAGTTAGCTGATACCAAAAACTTTCAATGTTCTAATGTTTACATAATTTTTCTACTCGAAGCTGAAGTGAGGCATGGTTAGTTACCAATTGAAGGCAATCACCAGGCATGTGGGCGCAAACAATGAAAAATGATATGGATGAAGTCGCTGCATTTACCTCTAATGGATCTATTATGCAATGTGATAATGCAATAAATGCCCAGTGCTATTCAAGGTATGGTTGAGCATGGAGTACGAAGTAGTAGCCAAATATTGAACCAAAGGAGGAACGACTAGTCAGCGTATTGGGGCATTGTGAATATTCTAGCCAGTTACTTATCTCTCAGATGTACGTTCACTGAAGCCATTCATATCTAGTTATTTAACAATATCTGTCTAACTACATAGTACGGAGTTCTCTGGAGGTAATCACTTTAGCCAATGACAGCTGAGTAAACGGCTAATGCAAACATGTAAAACATCCATGCTGTAGCTCCGCCCGATATGCTTCTTTCACTCCTTCAATAATTGCACATATTCTGGGATTTCCTCTGGGATTTCTCAAATTGATCAGTAACATGTCACTTCCAGGCCTCGAGCTAACCCAGCCATCGGAGGAAAGATCGCAGGCACCCGCGCCACCATCGCAAATCAACCTGACCCCAGGTTCGGAATGGCGGTTCGAGGTTGCCTTTGGACATATCATCAAAGTAAAGGTATGTTATCTCATCTAATCTGATTGTGATCCTTCTGACTCAAGCTGTGCAGCTTCTCAACGGAACGGCTGAACTCTTCGGTACAGAGCTTGCCGAATCGCAAACCTACACATTCACCGGCACAAAGGCGGCAATTTTCACATGGCATGGCTGTGCACTTGAAGTCACCGCGGTCGAAACAACATCAACTACCTCCGATGGAGTCACACCGACAGTGGGTCACGGCGCAGGAGGATGTCAAAGCGAATACACGGCCGAGGAAACGCCAATGGTAGAATATGCAAACGTCCACTTTGCGCTAGAGACAATGCGCGAAGAAGCCCAATCAATAGGCAAGGATGGCCCGCGCGTCCTACTTCTTGGCTCTGAAAACACCGGAAAGACTAGTTTGGCTAAGATCTTGACTGCATATGCGACCAAGATCGGTCGTCAGCCGTTGGTTGTGAACCTCGACCCTACGGAGGGTATGCTTGGCGTCCCTGGCACACTGACCGCGACTGCCTTCCGCACCATCTTGGACGTAGAAGACGGCTGGGGAAGCAGTCCCATGTCTGGGCCCAGCCCCGTACCTGTCAAGCTGCCGCTTGTGTATAGCTACCCGATGCAAAGCCCGCTAGATGGCGAAGGCGCCGTGTACCGACCAGTCGTCTCGCGTCTGGCATTGTCTGTCACGGGCCGGATGGCCGAAGACGAGGATGCGCGCGAAACGGGAATCATCGTCGATACGCCCGGGATCCTTGGCACAGACAAGCCTGGCACCATGGAGCTCATTAATCATATTGTCACAGAGTTCTCGATTACAACGATCCTAGTACTGGGTTCGGAGCGCCTATACAGCACCGTTGCTAGACAATATGATAACAAGCCCACCTCCAGCGCAACAGCCGCTGTCTTCGACGAGCACATCTCCGTCGTCAAGCTTTCCAAATCCGGTGGCTGTGTCGACCGTGACGATGCCTTCCGCAAGGCAACACGGGAGTCCCAAATCCGCTCCTACTTCTTCGGCAACCCTATCCCTTCCTCTTCACCCTCTTCCGCTATTACTCTCTCCCCCCACGCACAGCAACTTGACTTCGCCTCCCTCCCCGTATACAACTACATCGTCTCCTCGGCAGACGATGAAGACGAAGACGAATACGACCCTTCCCAACTGGGAACAGGCGACTCCTTCCTCCCCGGCGGGGGTGGCATGGATGACTACGCCTCACAAGAAACAAAGCAAGACCCGGACCGGGCCGCCCCGCTCCCTGGTGTTGTGGGCTCATTTTCAGAGCACGCTGACAACGTGAATGCCAATGCCAATGCCAACAGCAGCAGCAGCGTCCCGCTGAAAAAGGTCCTTCCACCCGCTCCCTCCGCTCTGGCAAATACCCTCCTTGCTATCACTCATGCGCCTACCACGGCATCCCCCGCTGAAGTCCGCGACGCGAGTATCATGGGCTTCTTGTATGTTGCCGACGTTGACGTGGACAAGGGTAAAATCCGTGTGCTTGCGCCTGTTGGTGGGAGAATGCCTCCACGCGCTATTATATGGGCAAAGCGTTGGCCTGGGGAGTTGGTGGGGTTGGTGGGCTAGGTGTTGGTTTTCTTTTCTGTTTCTTGCTTGCTTGCATTAGATATTTGCATCTTCTTTTTAGATATGGAGTCAGGGATCTAGATTCACTTAGCATGGGGTTGTGGCTCGTTATTGCATACAATCAATATATCTACGGATGTCTGCTCAATGTGCATGTAGCTTGTAATCTTGTACAAGCTTGGAATAGCATGTCGCTGACTATGATGAGATGGGGATCTCTTTCTTTACCGAATGCTCCACTTAGCCTCGGATCAGAAGGCGGAGGTGTCAAAGAGACAATCAAATAGACGAATTTGCAAGTACCAAAGAGCTCATATGGCAATAGCCCTAGAGGGTAAGAGCTGACAAGTCTCCTTCCTTGGAAAGAGATGTTTACTTACTAGAGGAAGGTACTACTGAGGCAACGACGATAGACTACATTATGATATAGAGCATCTAGAAAGACATATAGAAGAAGCAAATGCTAGGATAATATGACAACGGCTAATACCGGATAATACAGGGCTATGTTCTACCTAGGCAGACTTTATATATATGCTATGCTATGCTAGTACAAAATAAAACAAAACTCCCTCCAGTCATTGTACACCCCAATGCTCCCAAGTATACATGCATTTATAGACACAAATCAAAGCACATGAAGGAAACTAGACAGACAGTCATCAGCCATAAACCTCATTCCCACCTCCTCCACTCATCAACAGCCTTCCTCATCTCCTCATCACAATCATACCCTTTCGCTTGGGCAACCAACAACTCCTCCCTTCGATCCAGGAATCGCCGCTCGGCCTCAACCCTCCTCTGCGCCACAGACCTCAACAACCCAAAATCATCCGTAACAACCGCCTCCCGGAACTTCGCCCGCATACGTGGCGAGTAGAGCTGACAACTCGCCTCACGAGTCCGACCAGGGCCATCACCAGGCAAGATCCGCATCTTCGTCGTGACCATGCACGCAATGGGATGATTAGACCGGGCCAACGGCCAAACAACCTCATCGTAGCAGTCTTCGCAGACACACATCTCCGGCAGTGACGGGATAAAGTGCCACGTACTCAGAGCAGGCCTATCGCGACGGCAATCACGCAGCACGACCTTGCGCCGCGCGTAGTTGAGGAACTCGCGCATATCCGGGCGACGGGTGCGCGAGGAGTCCGCTTCAGCACGGGATGCAGACGCATCGAGGAGATCGATGAATTTCACGAATCGCGGACTGGACGTGACGAAGTCGCACAGCCGCTCGCTGGGATCCCGGCTGGGTAGGAAGGTCTCGCGGTGGCTGGGCATTAGGATGCGGATATTGCGCGCGCAGCTGTTGCAGACGTGGAAGCCTGCGAGATCGGTGCCGGTTTCCGGGTCGTAGATGCGATGCCAGGATTGTTCTGCGACGATGCGACCGGGACAGACGCGCATGCCTGGTGGTGGGCGTGTCATTTGGTACAAAAGCTCCAGGCTGTCGTGTTGTTTCTTTATCATCTGGGCCCAGGCTAGACGGGTCCATGCGTTGGCGAAGGCGCATCGTGTCTTTTGTCCGGCTGGCTTTGAGAGGCTTGGAATGAAGTAGTCGCGGTAGCGGGACTGTGATAATTGGCTCACGCAGGATGGACAGATGTCCAGGTGGGTGAGGCCTTTGAGCGTATACCAATCCTGGTAACCTGCTACGGCGATGGTTCGCGGGCATGGGGAGAGGCCCAGGCCTACCGAGCTAGGGCGCTGTGGTGATGTGGCTGCGGGTCTAGTCGGTGCGAGATGAGCCAGCGACCGGTCAGGATTGAGTGGGGTTGATATAGGCTTGGTCATCTCAGGTGCTGGTCGTGAGGGATGGCGAGATCCAGACATCGACCGGGTAGGCGGCATTGTCACCGATGTCGCGCGGGCACGTGAGGCCGGGAGCAGTTCATGCTGTGATCGTTGGGCGGGGACACGCTGAGGTCCACGCAAAGGCGAGTGCGATGCTGGTGCTGGAATAGGAGGCGGAGGGGGCAGAGAGGTGTTGAGAATATGCGGTTTGACGGGCTTCACAGTTGTGGGTATTTGCCGTACCTCCGGATCCGACACAAAACCCGGGTCCCGCTGTTCTTGTCGTTGGCGAAGCTTCTCCTCAATCCGTTCTGCGAGGGTGGGCCCATTTGGCAGAGCTGAAACAGGGGCCGTGGACACAGGCGGCTGTGGCCGGTGCGGTGGTCTGTTGTCTGTGGTGGCCGAATCGGACAAATACCCCGAGCTAGGCTCCCGTCGAAGGCGTTCTGGCATTGGTCGTGTCGAATGGGTATATCTCGCACTGTTTGATCGACCGATGGAAGGCCCGGGAGGTTGTAGACAAGTCTTGTCCTGCATGGGCGCTCGCGCATCACTGCGATCCGGCGCGCTAGGTCCGCGAGAGCCATGAGACGTGTTTTGCATTGGCGGCCCGTGTCTACTAAAATTGCTATCCCGGATATGGGAGGGCGGCTGAGGTACCCGCGGTGGGTTAAGCTCACGGATGGGCTGCTGCTGGGCCAGAGGCTGAGGTGCTGGGCCGCGTGGTTGGCTTGCAGTTGAGGGCGACACGTATTTTGGCCGGTCATTCGTCTCAAACCTGACGGTGTTTCGGAAGATCGGCTCTTGAGGAGGCGGTGTCTTTGGCCCTGCACTTTCATCCGAAGACACACTCCCGAGCCCAGACACACCGGGAACACTGACAGGGGAGGTAGATGATGGAGGGGGCGAGTTGGCGGCGACTATAATGGGATACTGATCGACAGCACCTCTTATATGAACACCGTCGAACCCGGGCTTGTCTCCAAGCTTGGAGAGACCGTTTAACTCCTTCGAGAGGGACTGGGGCTCTTCCTCGACGGAGGGCGCCGGAGGCCATTGCGGTCGCGCCCGTCGAGAGCTTCGAGAGGAAGCCATTTCCAAATGGAATTATTTTTGCCACACAGATTGTATGGGATATGCTTGTTTGAGGACGTTAACCTGGTGCGTTACCGTCTCGTAGAATAGCTCGGGAAATGTGGTTCATAGTATAAGTAGTCGGACTTGAAAGGCGAAAGTTTGCAGGGGAGCAGAAAATGGTGGCGCGTATGAAAGAGAGAGAAAATTTTTCGTGGGAGTAGACAAAGATGCTCGCTTTAAAGTGCGTGCGCCAGCTGGGTGTACAGGGGTATATAAGCATCAGTGGATGGCATCGGGCATCACCCTGAAGGAATAGACCTCTGATAGGCCATTTGAGTGATTGGGCAAGACCAAAAATACGAACAAGAATAGCTTCAGGCTGAAGAGAAATCACAAGTCAAGGGCAGTGGAAGCGCAGACAAGACAGTGTGGCTATGGCAGCCTGTTGACTATTGGGCACGAAGTGGAACCCCCCGGGTACTGCCGCTGCGTTTCAGGTTGATTTATTTAGATGCATATCGGATCATTGGGCAACAAGTGGAAATCTCGTTCTTCAGGGGCGCTGGTGTTTAGGAAACATCGGACCGATCAGAGGCTAGTGGCCTGCGTATTGTCTCAAGTTTATGGAGCGGGGGAGATCTATTTCTTCCAAGGTTTCATGATGCAGTCAGCGGCAGATGACACGCAAAGCTCTATGTCGTCCTCATGCACAGCTAGGGGCTAACGGACATATGCCGGGTCGTGGGTCGTGGGGATTTGCCCCTCATGGGGCTCCGGGTGGCTTGCATGGTGACTTTGTACGGAAAACGAAGCGCTAATACAGCAACAGATCTGGCCAGGGGCTTTGGGTTGGCGCTATGAGTCTCCTGGCAGAGAAGGGCCGCATTGGATCTGTTGGATATCCTTGCCCTGACAAGCCCATGTTGCACTGCTGTTGCAATGATTCGCATAACATAGCCTTGTTCCGACGGGTGGTCCGACGGAAATGGCGTCATATCCCTGTGAAAATGGGTGAATAGTCGACATGTCAATCATGTTGAATTTGGGAACCTGTATGAAGCGCGTTATCAAAGTCAGATGCGCTGTATTCCGTATAAACACTAAGATTGGAATTTATCGAGTTCGAAAAGAAAGAGAAAAGAAAAGAAAAGAAGGGAGCGCAACAATTCCGCCGGACTCTGGACATTGCGGGGATCCGATGACAAATATGAAGCTGATGTCTTAACATCTCTCTTACCCCCCACCTACTTATTTACTATGTTTCGCTCTCTTACACGTAGTAGTCCTCGACTCGCACTACTTCACAATCACATTGCTCCTCTTGTAAACCAATTCGTTCCAATCCGCAGCATGTCCGTCCCAACAACCATGAAGGCTGTAGTGGTCGAGCAGACCGGCGGCCCTGAGGTGCTGCAATTCAAGACCTCATACCCAGTTCCTACCCCAAAAGCAGGACAGCTGCTAGTGCGCAACAACATCTCCGGTGTAAACTACATCGACACCTACTTCCGAACTGGCCTGTACCCCTCACCCAAGCCCGAGATCTTGGGCCGCGAGGGCGCTGGTGTTGTCGCTGCTCTCGGTCCCGAGACTTCTGGCTTCCAGGTCGGCGATCGGGTTGCATGGCTCTCTACTGGTGGGTATGCGGAGTACACCGCAGTGCCGGCGGCCCACACTGCGAAGATCCCCGAGGGGATCAGTGATGAGGATGTCATGGCGTCGTTCCTGAGCGGTATGACCGTCCTTGCTTTCGCAAAGGAGACTTATCCCGTGCAGAAGGGCGATTGGGTTCTTCTCCACGCCGCAGCTGGTGGTGCTGGCTTCCTTATGACGCAGATTTTAAAGACTATGGGTGCCAAGGTTATTGGTACCGCTGGCGGCGCAGAGAAGTGTGCGCTTGTGAAGAGCCTCGGTGCCGATGTGGTGATTGACTACCGCAGCGAAGAGGGCAAGGACTGGGTTAAACAGGTCAAGGAAGCCACTGGTGGTCGTGGTGTCGATGTTGTTTACGATTCTGTCGGCAAAGACACCTGGGAGGGAAGCTTGGAGGCTGTTAAGCGCAAGGGTACTGTCATCTGGTTTGGCAATGCCAGTGGTCCTGTGCCCCCGCTTCCTCTTGCGTATGGCCTTCCCCTCTCTATATTGGTCTTGGCTAGTGATACTCATGATATTTCTATAGGAAACTTTCCCCCAAGTGTGTCAAGGTTGCTCGCCCTACGCTCTTCGGATACATACAGACTCCGGAAGAGTTCAAATCCTACACAACTGAGCTGTTTGGCCTGCTGAAGTCGGGCCAGCTCAAGACGAAGATCCACAACATATATCCGCTAGAGGACATTGCTCAGGTGCACAAGGTATGTAGTCTCTGTCGTTCGTTGCGTGGAATCCTCATTGTAAATTCTAACTCGCTTAACAGGATCTGGAAGGACGGAAGACCATGGGGAAGTCACTGCTGAGGCCTTGAGTCAAGACCTGGGGTTTTTAAACAATAGGAACAGATTATTGTTCGATAATATAAGACTACGTACGATACGAGGGTGTCAATGTTCCTTTGATATCCATATGAATTTCATTTTCTCGTGCTGCATTTGGCTAAAACATATTCGGAAAACCCCCCGGCAGATTTGCAGCAGACTGATCACCTCGTAAACAGATAGCTGCATCTAGTTAGTGACCTTGCAGTCACTAATAGTCCCCCTCCAGTTCAGTCTCGGTTTCCTCATTCTTCTCACCAGCCTACTCCTTCGAAGTCTCCGTTGGTTCCAGGTTAAGCTGTCCATCGGGCTCCTGGTTCTTCGCAATCTTCTCACCCGGAGTCCGGGCACCTAGCTTGGGCTGTCCCTCAGACTCCTGGTCTTGCGCATCATGCTGCTCATCCGAAGTCTGGGCCTGTCCCTCAGGTTGCTGATTCTTCGTAATCTTCGACGCCTGGGTTTCATTCTTGGACTTTTCCTTTTCCATCATCTTCTTCTTGTGCTTGATGAACTTCGCGATCATTTCCGGCGTGATATCGGGCGTCTGATTCTTGGCCTGTACCTCAGGTTCCTGATCCTTGGTAGCCTTCTTCTCACCCGATGCCTTGGGTCCATTCTTCGACTTTTCCTTTTCCATCATCTTCTTCTTATGGTTGAGGAACTTCACGATCATCTCCATCGTGATTTCGGGCATCTTCTTCTGGGCCTGTTCCTTTTCTATCTTTTCCTTTTTCTCCTTGAGGAACTTCGCGATGACCTCGGGCGCGATAACGGGCTTGATCCTTTCCGGGTTCTGGAAATGATTGATAGTCCGATCGAGGGCCTGCTTAGGAGTTTCGAACAGGGGAATGTTGCGGGGCTCATTGCTAAGGCGACAGTGGGACTGCTCTTCCTGGGCCGAACTTCCCTTGCCTTTCTGTGGATTCGGATCCACCAGGCCCATCAGGTCTTTGACTTCCTCCATGTCCCAGCCGAAGTTTTCTAGGGTGTGGATAATCTGCCAGACAGCGACCATGGGATCCTCACCGGGCTTGACAGCAAAGTCCAACTCGTGTGTCAGCATATGCATAGCCCACTCGGCTGGGGTAGGCTCAGGGGGGCGCAAAATAGACTCCTTTGCGAGCCGACGTGCGACTTCCTCCTCGTCGGGGATGAAGTTGATAGGCGCTGGCTCCACATAGTCCATCATCCAGTCATTGTGCATGAACTTGTAGAAGCTTGGCAGGACCGACAGAATCTCATCGAAATAGTACTGTCCGAAGTTGGTCTGATAGACGTCTGTGATAATCTTCATGCCGGGCAAGATATGGACAAGTAGAGGAGCTTCGACGAGAAATTCGAACTCGTAAGTTGGGGCAAAACCAGCATCCCAGTCGATCTTTTCCCAGGGAGTGAGGTCGAAGGGACCTCTAGCAGGATCACGGAATTCCTTGCTTCGAACCTTGCCCACTGGCATCAGATCGGGGCCTAGCTCCCTGTAGTATGCCATGACTTCCTCACTAGGTTCCTCCACGGAGATGACCTCAAAGCCATCGATGTCCGGAATCTGCTTGGCTTCGATCATGTCCTTGTCAGCAATCATCTTGAATTTGCGAGCAGTCCGATCATTCCCGGCAATTGCAATGCCATATTTGACGACCTTGCGAGCGATTTCAGCGGTGAAGACCTTCTGGTCAGCATATCGAATGTTGGACCAAACCTCGGGGTCAACGACATCCTCGAAGTAGTAACCACCAAACAGCAAGGAGCAACCGCGGTTGAAGTCTCCGGGGCCTTGATGGTGTACGAGTTGCTGGTTCATCCACAGCTCTTTGGCGGACCGATCACATGTCTTTCGAGCTTCCTCAAGGTCCTCGTTCTGCTCGGGGCAAACATTGTGGTAGAGCAGGTAGGAAAAGAAGTTCTTCATGGTGTCAGTGCAGACTTTGATCTCCTCCTCAGTATCAGGATTGTAGTAGCCCATGTAGTACCCAGTTCTATCAACTAAGTTAGCATGCATGACTCGAATAAGCGTTCAAATATTATAAGACTCACAGGTAGCCAGTGGCAACGTCATTGAAAGAGATTGGGTATGGTTTTCCCATCTTAGGAATGGTGGCCGTGTGGCAGCGAGCTTGCATGGCCTCTTCTTTAGACATCTCCTTCAATTCCGAAGGAGTCACTCCCTGCGAATGGTTGGGGCCCACGCTGACACCGCCGTACTGTAGGTACTTGAGGAAAACCTTGCGTCTGTAGGGCTCAAGGCGTCGTTTGTACAAGAAGCGCTTGATCGCCTCGTCAATTCGACTAGATAGGTCATATTAGTGGCTGTTATGCGATAATATCTGGGGATCTTACTCAAGAATGGGCAAAGCACTGTCATGAAGTGTTAGACAATGTCTCAGTTTGGAAGTTAGAATTGTACTTACGGATCATAGATGTTCTTGTTCTCCTCGAACTCCTTCGGAGTAATTGGTGCATCGGCATAGAAGGGTTCGAATCCCGTGGGCGCGTTCTATTAAAGGCTGTTAGACAGAATCCGGTTGTTTAAACATCAGTATCACAGTCTTACCTCTCCTCTCTGGCTCTTGGGGCGTCTCTTGTTCTTTTTCTTCTTCTTTGATTTCGAAGAAGCATCATCGTCAAGTTCCATGTTTGCGAGAACCCTTTCCTCGTCGGGATCATGCCTGAATCCAATCTTAGGTTCTTTCTCCGAGTTCGCACCATCCTTCATATCCGAGTTGTCCGTAGTATTCTCTGGCTCTTCCGTAGCGATGGAAACACGAGGTAAAGCACTTCCAAGGTCAGCTTCATCACAAACATGCTTGTTAGGCTCCTGATCCGAACAAGCCAAAGGCTCCTCAACCTATAGAGTAGTGTCAGCATAATATTTATTATGATACAAAGGAGATTGGATCCTGGGCAGATAGAATCGGGACACTCACATCATGCTCAGTCTTGAGTGCATCCTCTGACTTCTCGAGCTCCGGAATGACTGGTTCAATGAAATGAACCCGAGCCTGCTTAGCAGATAATTGAGGCAATTCAGAGACAGATTCCGCGGAAGAGATGAAGGATCCTTCCTCGGTGGCTTCGCTATGCTCTTGGTCCGGCATGGTGGGGTCAAGGTTAGCAGGGGCACCGTCTCCAGTCATGACTTTAGTAGGCTTCATAGGCTCATCAGAGAAGCTAGGATTAAGCGACTGAACAGGGGGAGACAAATTGTCTTCACGGGTAGGCTCGGGCCTTTCATCCATGATGAATGATAGAAGTAACGAGGTTGAAAGGATGAAGTTTCCGTGTTGCGAGAAGCAAGGATAAATATTGGAAGGAGAAGGAAAGATCAAAACAAAGAGACAAGACTTAATAGCAAGGCTCTGATTGCTTAGTCGTGATGTTTAGTCGTGATGTTTAGTTGTGAGGATTAGTCGTTATAAACCTCATCCATAGATGAGATCAGGCAAACAACCAAACACCCAAACAACCTTATGTTTCTTTCACTATTATAAGATGATTTACAATTTGTTGAGTTTGAAAGGAGAAAATAAATAAAGGAAAAATCCAAGAATTACAATTATGAATGGATAAGTTAGTGAGTTCAATGTTGTATACACAGATCGTATAGTTCATCTAAGATTAGGGTTGAGAGTGACATCGCCCCCACCCCCCTTATCCCGCGTTTGGGATGTCATTTCTCCAGATCTCACTTCTTTCTCATATATTAGCATTTAGCATACGTTTAAACAATTCACCTTATTTGCATTCTATTTGCCAGGCTTAAAGATACCTGTGAATCTCTACACCTCAGGACTACTCCAGCTGTTTGGGGCATCCGGAATACAGACCTCCTCATGTCATAAGAGCCGAGTGATTGTATCAAAATGCCTTCGAAATCAGAAAATCGAAAGACACCACAGCTGGGCAGCGAGGATCTGATCCCTTTTGACCATGCTGCTGCCGGACAGTAAGTTCCACACCGCCGCTCTGTGCCCTGACGCGACGTCCCACACGAATTAACCCAGCCGGGTGTGCGAAAGAAAACCAACACTGGCGGACTCGAGTACGATATTTGATTTATGTCCATGCTAACAATATATTTCTATCCAGTGACGGCGTTCGCTGTACGGCCTCTGGCGCCCTGATCGCGAAACCGTGCACGCGGCAAGAGGTAGAATTCTACGAATCCAGCGCGCTCCACCCGGAATTACAGGAGTTCATGCCTCTCTACGTCGGATCCCTCTCATCTTCCGAACAACAGCAACCGCTGGCGATTGCTGCCGCCCGAGAATCTGGCATCCTTCCCCTCTCCGAGCCCGGCGACGTAACGGCCGATTTCTCCCAGCCTAGCCAACCGCCATCCCACACAACCGCCACGCACAAAGACGGCGCTGCCCCTGCTAAGGAGGAATCAGTATGGGTGCCCTCTGGAGGCAAGGAAATCGATACTGGTTTGTCGATCGTGCTGGAGAACATCGCCTGTGGGTTCCGTCGGCCAAACGTGCTGGACGTTAAGCTCGGCGCGCGTTTATGGGCGGACGATGCGCCGCTCGAGAAGCGGAAGAAACTTGATACCGTATCGAAGGAAACCACCAGTTCTAGCGTTGGATATCGCATCGCGGGCATGAAAGTCTGGACTGGCCACAATGGGGAGACCGATGAGGGCGATCGGACAAACCCGTATGCTACGAAATACGAGGGTGCAGAGGGCGAAAGAGGCGAAGTCATCGAGAAGGATGGCTATCGGCGGTATGACAAGTGGTACGGTCGCTCCTTCAGTAAGGATAATGTCAAGCAAGGCTTTGAAACCTTTCTTGCTGGCGCAAAGGCGGGCAAGATAGACCGATCAAAAATGGTCGCCCAGCGCTTGACGGAAGAATTGAAAAACTTGCAGCGTGTTCTTGAATCAAAAGAGAGCCGGATGTACTCTGCGAGTGTATTGGTGGTCTACGAAGGAGATATAGAAGCGATGGAGCAGGCAATTGAAGAGGAACAGAAAGCCCCAGCAACCCGTTCTCGGGAAGAAGAAGATGATGATGAAGATGACGAGGAATTTGAACTTCCCGAAGAAGCTTTCCAGATGGTTAATGTCCAGCTTGGTGATGGGATGCCTCAACAGGCTATCAATATCAGCATTGACCCCGAAACCATGCAGATGCCCGACGTGGACGATGACGAGGAGGACGAAACTCCTAAAGTCCACGCCCTCCGCCTGATTGATTTTGCACATGCCAGCTGGACCCCTGGACAAGGCCCGGATGAGAATCTACTCATGGGTGTGCGCAGCCTCGTTAAGATGTTTGAGGAACTGGCAGAGTGAGATGGAGTATAGAATCGCATGTGCCCACAGTTGCTGGCGGCCGTTGGATGCACTACTAGCAACTTTTATTATATTTTATTTCAGTCCAATTCGCTATGTAGATCACATCTTCGTTTATCACTCAGCCAATTTATTGCATTCATTCTTTCAGCGCGCCAGGCCCACGACCTCTATAAAAGTGCTGACATAATCCCGCCGAGACTTCGACATTGATCTTCAACATCGCGGAATCGCAACTGCGGAAACCCTCAAGTCAAAATGTTCCCCACACGCGCCCTTTTCGGCCGGTCGGTCTGGAAAGGTGAGTCTTGTCGGATCTAGAAGATCTCTATTTCAGGATCAATTCCTAAGAGGCCACACGCTAATACTTCCAACAGGCCCAAACATCGTCCCGTACGTGACAGAAATCAAACTCCTCCCTTCGAACCTACAAAACCTTTACAACGGGAACATCTCATACTGGAATTGAAAGCTGACTGGATTATCCAAAACAGTCTTCCTCTCCCACGCACCCTCCCCCCTCCACCCAACACCCCCCCGATCCGCACCACGAAACGCGCAGCAACCATCCTCCCGAACTTTGTCGGTCTGCGCTTTGCTGTACACAATGGCAAGACATACGTCGAGATCCAGGTGACAGAGGAGATGGTCGGACGGAAGCTTGGAGAATATGTTGCGTATGTATACATATTTCTACGTCTGTTCAGCACAAGCATGATGAGCAGGCTCAGAATGATGCGGTTATTTACTGACATTCAATCTGCTCTACAGGACCCGCAAGCGCTTCACATACAAGCAGTCTAAGAACAAATAAACGACTCGCATGATCATCCTAGTGCAGATACTTCTTTGTACTAGGAGAGCTACATTACATCTCTTTATTTTGCGACACTATGTACAGATATATCGTTGGATTCATTGTGACATTAGCTGCTTTTGGGTCGGAGTTCAATATAAAATTTTCTTTTTCCTAGATTCAAACTGCGAATAAAGTGCAATACCCAAATAGAACCTGTATAGGAAGGCAAATAACGAGTAATAGTCCTTATTCAATCTGCGGTGTTCTTATAGATTCTGATGCATAATTCGAAGCTAGCAACACATGAGAAATGTTCATATCATTACTTAACTAGTTCCTATAGCATTGCAGGCACAGATTCTAGTAAGTAAAAGTTAGTTAAGAAAAAAGAGAAAACGCCATCCATTGGATCCGCCCAGACACCAGCCCAGACTAGCAATGCAGTCATGATCCCAGGCCACGCAGGACCATTTGCACACCTAAACGCCATAAGCCCGAAAATGCAAAAGACAAATGATGCAAAACCCCGAAGAGCAGTTTCCATCAATGTACTACCTGTAGAACTCGCCTCGCTTCACGCTGACTCCATATTCTGAGACTGCCATTCCCAGGTCTTCCATGGTCAACACCGTACGTCCCTGACCAGAGCCACCCGAGCCACCACCTCCAAATCCAGGCCGCTGGATACCGAGATGGGTGCCTGCTTTATTACCCTTACCACCATCGCCGCCAGGAGCTGGGGCACCACCTGCGCCAGCCGGAGCACCGAGACCAGCCGCAGCTGCTAGACTGCCGATGGGGTTGTTTGCGGAGGAGCTGTTTGAGGCGCGGATTCGGGCAAACTGGTACGAATCTGCTGCGATGTCTGAGACAAACTTTTGTGCGGCAAGCGCTAGGAGTCGCGCCAGGTGAGGTGGGGTTTGGCCGGGGCCAGTGCCTGGTGGTGGGAGACCGGCGAGGGTGAGGTAGTGAGCAGTGACTGCGTCGGGAATCTGGAGATCGAAGGTCAGTTTTTTTTTGCTTTTCCTTGATTGTCCGATGGGTCTTTTGTTTTATATCATGGGTCTCGCTTTCGATGCGCTTGCGCGAAATCTTGGGATCAATCGATGGTGGCGGGGATGCCGTGGTCCACCGTGTGACCAGGCGATCAGGGGAAGCTCAGAGAGGTTACAGTCTTGTTTTAGAGATGACTTACAATTGGTGCATAGTCATCCATCTTGCCGAGGAACTCGCGCAAGCTTGTTTCCTTCTTGGAGGGTTCTGGCGCGGGGGCCATGGGATCTTGGCCAGGCGCGGTGGTGTTCGCGTTCGCTTCGGTCTGATTCTCGGTGTTCATATCGACGTCTTTTTCGATGGAAACATCAAGATCAGGCTCAGTTTTGATGTTATCTTCCGATTCGGTCGGAGGGGGATGCTCTTGTGATCCGTTCTGGGGTATGGGTTGGGAAGGTTGCGATGTTTGAGAGTCGGCCATGTTGGGCAAATATCGGCGGGAAACCCTGCAAGTATCCTTTAATTGAGACTGGGCTGCAGAGTTCCAAGTACAAGGCCAATCAATGGCTGCGGCGGTTATACGTTCGTTTATAGGGAGATTCAAAGTCACACGGGTGGTGCACGGGCCATCTGATGACCTACCTCGACTACCACGCTATGTATCAACGCATATATATTGTAATCTAAAGCTATCTACATCTAAAGAGTGTGTTTATTTTATTCATTATCATTTATTTGAAATGTATCACTATGTACTCATACAATTGGGATGCAATAAAAGCAATCGCCCAGTCCGGCGCAATGTCGCAATCCCATAGTAAAACAAATGTGGTTCCCGAAGGAACAAATATCACAATCCAGCCCTAGACTCCGAAACGAAATTGCAAATCCGAAGTTCACATGATGAATCTTGCGGATAAAAAGCTAAATCAATAAGACAAATGGTTGGATATGACAATCCTCTACTGTCCCAACTGCATATGAGGATCGATGTGATCAGGAGTTGGCTGAGCATGCTGCTGAGGGTACTGACTTCCGTGTACCTCCTGGCTCAAAGTCTGCATGAGGTTCTGTTCCGCGGTTTGATCAAATACGGACTGGCTGTTAGCATCCGGTGGAAGGCTAGGTGAGGCGGACATATCGTGTCCCGACACGGGTGCCCCATGAGCTCCAGCAAGGGCCATCATACCCTTAATTCCTTCCACATGGGCCTTGTCTTCTTCGCCCTGCTTCTTCTGTCTTTCACGGGCTTCCCGTTTGGCTGCCTGGGCAGGAGCGCGGGTTTTCAATTCACCGGTGACGAACTTCAGGTAGTATGGGACCTCAATTCCACTCTTCAAGAAGAAGAGTTTCAAGTTGCGAGCCTTGTCCTTCAGCTGTACCTGGTTACGATCTTTGAGTGCTTCACTTATCGTTCCACCAGGTCCAAACATAGCAAGAATCTGACTCCAGTGGGGCCCCTTCACACGGTCTAGGCCGGCCATCAACGCGTTCTCTTCTTCAGTGGTCCAGGGTCGACGCTGACTGGGAAGGCCAGATTTACGGCTAGTCGGAGAAGATTTTGCAGATGCGGCCATTCGGGCACGCTCGTAGAGAACCTGAGTGGGCTGTGACTGAGAGTAATGGGGAATCCCCGGCATGTATCCATGGTTGGAGGACATGCCATTTGCTCTAGCTTGCATAGCTTGCGCTGCATTGGGGTTGTATTGCTGGAAGGTGGCCTGTAACGGGCTCTGCTGGAAAGTCAAGGGGGAGGCCTGCTGTGTTTGATAACTTCCAGGGGGGGTCGGACTATGATGATATTGTTGGTGAACTGGCTGCGATTGTTGTGCAGCAGTGTAGCCATGGAGATATTGATTATCAGGTTGGATCGTCTGTTGCTGCGGCTGCTGTGGTGGCGGCTGTTGGTGCTGGGGTTGTTGCGGTTGTTGCGGTAGAGGCGACGGACTAGCCTGAGACTGGGTCTGTTGGGGTTGCTGCTGATGCTGTTGTTGCGACTGCTGCTGAGAGCGTCGGAGACCATGGCCCTGTAGAGCAATCTGCGCTGCTCGGGCAGCACGTGCGACAAGGTCGCCATGCATGTTTCGGTCCACCGGGACTTCAACTTGTTGGTTGAGTGCGAATTGACCCTGGTGGGTGGTGTTGGGCGATTCGTGAGCATCGCCATTTGAACTCGAGGGCTGACGTCCCTTGACGGCTTTCTTTCCCTAGATGATCTTAGCATAAAAATAATCTTTGAGGAAGATAAAGAGCAACAAACGAACCTGTTGGGTATTGATGGCGTCAAAGTTCTTCGAAATGTAGGAGCTGAGATCTCGGAGGAAATCTTCCCAGTGATACTTATCCGGCAGGGCATTCAGCGCTTCCTCATTGTTGATCTCATTGAGAAGGATGTCACGGCGAGAGGTGAGACGATTCACGAAATCTGTCTCAGATGGTGCCAGCTGCCTGGTACCAGGACGTCTCGCCAACAACCGTTGTTCCATGTCGTCCGGGAACAGATTGTAGAGGAGCTGTGTACGGGTGAGAGATTTGTTATGCATGGCTGCGATGAAAGCCTGTGTCTTGAGTTCGAGGTATAGAGCACCTTGGACCTTCAGTAAACGACCGCCCTCGGGGACAAACACGTCTAAGAAATGATCATTGAGGTCCGCAAACCCAATTTCCTGAGATCCAAAGATACTCGAGACAAAGGACGCCAGGTTCGCTTTGCGAATGACATCAATTTGAGAAGGGTCTGTGATTTCAAGGTCCGTAGGCTGAAGGAATGAGTGCTTGACGGTGTAGACTCGCTTTGTATGGTCAAATAAGGAGCGCATGGTGGCATATGCCTGGCCATTTTCGGAGTCAGGTTCGGAAACCATAGCAGTAAGGTCTTGATAGGTGTTTTTGGAAAGGAATGACAAGATTTGCGTCGACTAGGAGATGATTGGCCAGATGTTAGGAAGCCGAGATTGTGTAAATAGTATCAATTCAACTCACAAGATTATCCAGGATAGGGAGACTCTGAATCTTGAGGTGAGAGTTGGCCTTGAGGAAAGCAAAACCTCTGGCTCCTGGGAAATCATTCGACGGTGGTAGTTCTTGAGGTCCCATTGCAACGGTTTGCTCCTGACGCTCTGTGTGATCCATGATTTCAGAGATGATTGTAGCCACGTCGTGATTGAGATCAGAGTTGCCGTCCTGGGTAGTGGCGACCTCTGTAGAGGAATCATGGGTGTTGTGAGTGCTATGCTGAAGAGTTTGGTTCACATCGAGAACGTTCTGCTCAACTGTATCAATAACACCTTCGCCAAGAGCCGAGGCCAATTCTTCTTCAATTTTGTGACCAGGGCCATGCTGATCGGCCATCAAGGTGACTCCGTCGGGCAGAGAAATATCACCGTTGGAGCTATCGCCTGTACGGCGCTTCTTGGCCGCCGGAGGCGATCCATGCTCCTCATCGTCGAGGGAATGAGACACTTTTTGGTCTGTGATACAGATTTAAAAGGTGAGTATTGATTCTAGAGTTATATTGAGGTCCCATTGGCGATGAGGGTGATAGGTATGGGTGGGGGTGGTCGAGGCTGGTGAACGGGACGATCGGATGAGGCGCTTGAAGAGAACACTTACCAATGTCACCTCCATCAGAGGGGAAGGGAGGAAAGTCGGATGTTTCCTGGCCATCGAATGATGGCCGCGCGCCTCGAGTCTCGACCATTTGGAATAAGCGCCTGTCGGGGTATCAACTTCCGAGAGCAGAAATGAGGGCTTAGGGGTAGGGCGCATTTGTAGGGCTTGCGGAAGAAGGATGGAGGAGCAAAATATGATTTTTCTGCCGGGCGGTAGAAATTTCGGAGGTGATGGGTGGAAGCGTGGACATCAAAAAAATGTATGCGTGGAGGTTCGTGGAAGGAAGGTAATGGGGAGAGGGGAGAAGGAAACCTTGGCGGAAGTTGCGTGGTTGAGTGTATAAATGTGCGTATGTTTATCTCGTCAATTCATAAGTACCTTTTTCGTGTGTTCACCATGCAAAAGGTACATCATTCGTATTAATTTTAGGTCTCTCGAACGATCATCAACTTGTTCTACCTTATATGCCTGGCATGAAACCCGTCTCTTATTCAATAATATCAATTATCAGATCTACGATAGCCCAGTGACTCTCGCTGAAGATTTTTCGGTATTCTGCCCAGGTTTTAGAAGAAAGACAGTCCGGGAAAAAGGTGATAAATATCTTCTCTAGGAGAATGAGGCAATCAATTGTTCCATCGAGTACATAGAGATCTGCTATCGTCTCTAGGAACTTTATCTATATCTCTGTGATCTTGAGTTCCTACAGCTAGATAATCTCCGAGGCCGCTGAGGGTGGGCCAGATTTACCAATCTTCTTGGCTCAAACTGGCTTGCATAAGAGAAAATACTACCAAAATATGCAGATATCATGACAATATCCAGAGAGACATATGGTATGTACATGTACTCCGTATATTGTAGGTCGGCAGGTACCTCACAGGGGGCTAGTTCCGTTTTAAGACTAGCGTGCTATGTATACATTTGGCGATTTGCTCACTAGTGATGCCTACATGTACGCTACTTATAATCTTTAGACGGAATTTTGTTCCGTAAACAGCATTCTATCGTTCTGTATACTATTATCTACAATTAGTAAATTATGACCCAGGTATCTATGTAGACTGGTGTATATAAAAGTCCCATCGACTCTCTCTTTGCGGATAATTTGTGCGCGTCATCAATCCTATGCCACCTGTATAAGTTGTGTGCAACCTTGAGCCTACCAATCGTATGAAAAAATGAGCTGTGATGAACATCCACACAAAATTCAGATTCGGTCATGGTACTTTCTGAATTTATAAATCGAATGAAGTTATCCTACTGTTCAATATATATAGTGTGTGGTTTGTGTGGTTTGTGTGGTTTATTATTGACATCGACTAGACACTTCTAGCTCCCAGTGACTCCTCAAGTATCCTTTTTGATTGACACTTCGTAATGAATCTACATGCAAGGTTAATAGTGTCGTCAAGATTCAGCTGCTCCTCACCATCCGAAGAACCCGAAAGCTTGGAGTGCCTTGAGTTTTGATATTCGCGAATAGAAAGCCGGTATGTCTACTAGCAGTACTACCGGCTCCTGAAAGCGGATATCTCACCGTCTGGTTCCCTGGTATCCTCGTAACCCTAACACTACCATACCATTCGAGGCCTGGACCATGGAGGTCCGAGTTTCTTTACTACAAAGAGGTTGCCCCCGTAGTTTATAGAGCTAGTCAATCAATCCATCCATCCAGTCAAGGCCTGCTGTTCTTTGATGCTTGAAAGACCATGTTGATGTACAGCCTATTCATCACTCTCCTGGCCCTTCAGGGCCCGGTAATGGTCTCTGCCCAAGACTCCCAATCCATCCAGAAAGTATGGGGAGTCTTTGCATTTACCGTCTACGGAGACAGCAAGCCCAGTGAGCTCACCAGCTCTCGAACATTGACCGACTACGGAGCCAACGAACTCGCCACGGCAGCATCGGATTTCCGTTATCGTTATGTGTCTGGAGGCTCTAATACTATAATCCAGAACATATCCCCAATAATTTTGGACTCAAACGATGTGGTTGTGCTCTCGGCAACGGATCAGAACATTGTTGGTTCCGCCCAAGCCTTCATGCAGGGTCTATACCCACCATTGGGCTCAATGAACATACCGAGCAGCCAAATTGCGAACGGATCGTTTACACAGGCGCCATTGAACGGATACCAATACCCTCGGATTGTTACAGTCGGTAATGCCGACCCTCAGTCTATTTTGATTGAAGGTCACGCGATGTGTGACATGTATAATGCCGCCGAAGGCGAATACCGTGGGAGTAACGAAGCCCAGGATATCACACGAGACACAGACGCCTTTTATAGAAAACTATGGAAACTGGCATTGTCTGGAGCCTACGATGATACTTCTGCAACTTACACAAATGCCGTTGCAATCTCGGAATATTTGGATTATGAAGTTGTGCATAATGACAGCTTGTTGGAAAGTCTGAACCACGCCGACATCATCCGTGCTCGCTCGCTGGCGGACCAGTACGCATGGAGCACCAACAGCCAACAATCATCTTCCAGCGGGTCTGCGATCAGAGTAGCTAGCCCAATTGCCGGGCAGACATTGGCATCGAGCATTCTAGAAGCCTTCGATCTGAACATCCAGGCAAGTGGCACCCGGCAGAAGATGACTCTGTTGTTCGGCGGTGATGAGCCAGCTGTTGCCCTGTCGTCTCTGTTGGGACTCGCAAACCAGCATCAACCCAACTTTTTCTCCCGCTTGGTACGAGGTGGCTCATTTGTTTTCGAGCTGTACAGCTACGAGAACAGCAGCAACTTGTACCCAACATACCCTGGGATGGACAATTTGTACGTGAGATTCTTGCTTCACAATGGGACCGACAACACCACCGACTTCGAAATGTATTCCCTCTTTGGACACGGCCCTAGTCGTGCGTCAATCCCATATACTGAGTTTCATTCCGAGCTGGAGACATTTGCGCTGGCATCAACCGAAGAATGGTGCCTACGCTGCAACGCTGAAACTGTGTTCTGCAATGGAGTGTTAGACCAGACCGTATCTCAGCCGAAGAAGAATAGAGGTTTGGCTCCCGCTGTAGCCGGAGTCATTGGTGCTGTTACAACGCTCGCTGTCATTGGACTTACAGCAGTCATTGTGTTCCTCATATGTCGTGCTCGCAAGGGAAGATACCCCAAGAAAGGAAGCTTGGGAGGGTTCAAAGGTCCTAGTAAACTTGCCAGTGATACCGATTTGTCGTTCAGTGAACCCATATGGGGAAACTCCAAGACTGATAGTACGCAAGCATCCAGTGGTCTCGCCGCTGGAGTTGGAGTGGCTGTACAGGGACATGAACGTACCGGAAGCTGGGAGATGAGGCAGGGAAAAAAAGAGATTGGGAATATTGAACCCGATGGCATGGAAGTGATGTCACCTTCTGAGGAAAATGGGGAGTATTGGGGTGTACACAGTGGCCTTCAACCTGTGAAAATCCGGGAGAGTGTATAGGCTGTTATGTTGTAACCGTATTTTTGGACAGGAGTTCTTTCGTTTTCGAATTTGTTGTCTTCTCTCTCTGCCTTCCTCAAGTGTCCTTCCTTCCTGTTTAGGGCTACTGGCCAATATCGACGCGTGCTGGACGCGTCGAGTATAGACCTCGTGACTCTGGTCTCTATCTGTTCTGAATAGCCTCGAGCCCTCGTTCCTTCTTCATTGACCCTGTACCTTCCACCTGGATCCCCTCAACAATTCCTTTTTTTTTATCGAAGTCTTTCGTTTCTGTTATTCTTACAGGTAAATATTTCATCCCCATGAACAAAATGAAGTATAACTTGCCAACACTATTGGCATTGTGCCAGGACACAGGTGTACACTGCAAGTGGACCAGTGAAGCAAAATACTGTGAGTTTCCCTTTGTGACGATGCTTTTGATCAATGATCTTCCCTAAAGAGACAAACATTCGATTGGATCACTGGTGCGAACTGGGTTCCAGTACACCAAGCTGACCTGTCGTGGGTCTCAGGGCTATCGAGTCTGTATAACCCAATGAAAGAAAACTTGCTGACCATCGCCACAGGCAGACGAGCGCGTCTTGATCGAAGCAAGAAGCCTATCCTTTCAGAAAACCCGAGAAATCGCCCGACTAAAGAGTCAGCCAGGTTATTCCGACCGAACAAAACTCTAGCATCGAAAGCACCCAAGAATCGCCCGACTCGCACAAGCAAAAAGTCCTTTGAGCCTGTGTTCCCCACGAATGACGCAGGGTTTGCTCAATTCCTGAAGAAGCACACTTCCCCGAAACACCAGCGGGTCACGGCTGGGGGAAGAATCGTTCCAATGGAGCCATCAAGGCCATCACCCCGTTTTGGTGGCTCGTCGCCCATGTCAATGACCTCAATGAATGACGACGAATTTGTTGTCTTTGTTGATGGTCAGCCTGGGACTCAGAACCAAGCAACACAAGAGAGCTTTACAATCATCCATTCTTCCACAGCGTCCGATATTAACTTACACGAGGGGTTGCCGTCGCCTTTTCTGGAAAGCACATCCCAGTTCGCAGCTCCTGTCGGTTCACGGGATTTGACCGTTTCCCAGTTAATGGAATCAGACAATCCATATGCTGAATGGATTGAGCGAGTAGACGAAATCGAGTTCGTTCGCCGTAATCCAAGCACAGTGCGCCATGAGCCTGCCCGTCTGGCTGAGGAGCGCCAGACACGATGGGGTCTGATCATGAGTCTTATCAACCTTGATGATGCTGCAATTGTGCGTATGATGTTAAACATGTGCCCGCCGTTTGCTGTTTTGCCTGATTGCGACTTTTATGTTGGATTTGTAAGAGTGGCATACGCGTTCGGTCTTGATACCATGATTGAGGCAAAGTCACGATTGATGGAAAAAGTCCAAAACCATGAAAGATTTCTGGAGGAGGTTAACGAAGTGATCGCGTTAAATCCACAGATTCCACCCAGCGATGATTGTTATAATTTGCGCGTTTACAACATCAGCGAACGGGCAAGAGTTCTCAGCGCTCTTGATCAATGGGATATGCTCATGGGCTATCCAGGGGCGGCTAGCGTGAACAACTCCAATGGTCCGGAAGGTATTACCGTGCAAACCGGAGGAGCGATCAATGGTGGTTCATATGATAACCAGTCGACTGATGGTACCAATGAGGTTGAGCGTGCCAACATAAATCGTGGGGTTGATATTATTGACCCAAACACTGGCCATCCCATACAAATCCAGAGGAAACACTTAACAGCAGCAGACAAAAACTGCAATGGAACAAGCCACACAAATGGGAACAACTCAGACCTTGGTAACGTGCAGGTTGATGGAAGCTCAGATTTGTGGATTCATGATGATGTAAATGAAGACCGCAATAGAAACAGAAGCGACTCATTCTTCAATCAGATTCAGGTCGATAGAAGATCAGAGTTGTTTCATGATGCGAATGGGACAGGCGGCAACGTGCCTACAAAATACAATGACCCGTCCTTTGACGCCAACAGCCGCGTGGAAATTCAACTTTCTCCTGAAATGGGTTCTGAGATGGAACACAACGGAATCATATCATGGATCCCCCAGGAGACATGGACAGAACGTCGTCCCGGAAACAGAAGTCGTATCAGCAATACTTTGCCTCGGAACTTCGGTCGAAACGTCTCCAATTTCAGATCGGCATTGCATCCGATTACTGAAATTGACCACGAGGAGCACGTCGCCGAACTAACCAACATGGCTGGAAATGATAGGAGTCATTCACCAAGCCTCGCGACTACCATGTAAGTTCTTTGCCCAAGACTAGCAGTTGGATAATACTAATTCCTAGAGCTGCAGCAATGAAGATGCAACTTTGATTGGGCTTCAGCATCTCCATAATGAGGCCCGCGGTGCATCAATTTCGGGCGGTTCAGATGACGAACAACAGACAAGAAGACATTCTAGCCTAGGACAGGGGTTGAATGAAGACAACCTCTCAGAAGTTTCCTTTGATCGGCCGCACAGAAGTACTGAGCTGTTTGACCACCAATCGTCTCTCATTCCGACGGAATTTTTCGATATGTTTGTCGTTGACGTGGAAGGACCCGGTGAACGGAGAGGACCCTTCGCCGAACAATCGGAGCATGGCATGAACCACAGGTAAGCCTATCCAAACTCACTTGCTTGTGCAAAGAGCCGGGTTTAACAAATAATAGCCGCAGTGGGAGCTTCACTCGGACAATGAACAGCTTTGGAGGGGATTACCCCGACGACATGTCGGATGCACCCCTATTGTCTCGGAATAACACATTCGGCAGGGATAGCCTATTGTCCCAGTGTAGGCCGAGCAGGGCGATTTCGAGGTCGAGTGTTCGCCGTAAGCACTATGTACCTGCAGGTGGTCTCAGCAGCGTTGGGTCTCGTATGATCTCATCGAGTCTGGATGCCCGTCGACGGCATGATGCACGTGAAAATGTCCAGAACGCCGGTCAGTCGCTCATGAATCCATCGAGATTGATCGGAGATTTGAGAGACGAAGTACCCACAGCACTTGTTCTCGGTTTCGAGACACCAGACAGCCAGCAAAACACCAATTACCTGTCTGGGTATTCCTCGCAGTTGATCAATGCCAGTGTCAGACACACCGCACCCGCTATTGTAAACACCAGCAGAATCAATGTGCATGCTCAAAACTGATACCAAGCAACCGTGGTGTTGGGCGTTGCGGATTTGAGCCCAGGCCTATGTATGTGTCCCGAAGTCTCCGAAGTGTTTCAGATGAAGGCAGAAAAGGCAGAAAAAAGCAAAAAAAAAGGGTGGGAAACATGGACCAAGTTTGAGTCAAGGGAGGAAACGATTTTGAAGGGATCGAAACATGAATCTGTACAATATTATTATGTATTGATATTCTTCCGGAGGAATGAAGTGTATAACTATCACGTGATGTACATTGTAGATACATGTAGTTATTTATACTCGACATGTCGCCACCCAGTTCCTTAGTACTAATTCCTTGGGTTATTCAGGACCCCTTGGACTAAGCTGAAGTCATATTGGGATGCTTTTTTTTCAAATTGATCTTTCATAGTAATCCTATCATTCTTTCTCGACTATTCTCAACATTTCTGGCGTAGATAGACGTTGTACGTACACTGCTGGTGAATTGATTTTAGATGACTAAGGCTTGGCCTCCGCGTCCACGGGTCCTTCTCCACTCCAATTCCTCCTTGCCTCCCTCTTTTCCCACTGGCTTCTCAATTCTTGATCTTCATTCTTTATTTGTTCTGACATGTTGTCTTATTCATGAGCCCAGTTATCGCGGCTTTTTCCTTTTCAGTTCTTTGGGTGGACACCCCCGGTTGTACCGCTTCTTACTAACAATTGACCCCCGCGCGCGATTATATCCCAGCCGGCACTTGGCATCTTGAAGATTACCGCCCTTTCGTCCGCCTCACACCTTGCTTTTCCACCCTTCGGATTAGGTCCTAGGTGACTGTCATCTCGGTCTCGATTTTGATTTCGGCGACCCACCCAATATGACGCAGCTCTTTGCCTCCAGTCCGCCGGCGGTGACAAATAATGAGAAGCGCGGGAATTTCCCCGCTCTCTCCATTCCCACACGAAAACACTCCAACGAGTCTAGTCATTTGCCTACGAGGATTAAGAACTTTTTCCGTATCAACAGTTCAAGTAGCCACTCCTCTCCCCATCCCAACCCCTCTGGAAGTTCCGAACGCGAACGCGAACGGGATAATCATGGGGCGGCCAAGAACGAGAAGTCTGCTTTCCGGCAGTCTCGATTCCTGCCAGGCATAGGCCGCAATCGATCAACAACCGTGGCTAGTGAAGGTAATCCACTGGATGATGCGATGTCGCCTACCGCGTCCGCCAACCCATACTTTGCCCACCAGGGTCAGCCAGCATTGCGACACCGCAACGATGGGTCAGTTCCGTCCTCTCCTCCTGATACCCCTGAGTTGCAAGTCACGGGGGTCTCGGCAGTAGAACAGGCGACCACTGCAAACAAAGAGGAACTAGCGCGCAAGTTACGACGTGTGGCTTCTGCCCCGAATGCCCAAGGCCTATTTACAAGTGGTCAGGGTGGCCGTCCTCAAACAGCACAACTCGGCAAGGAGCCCCTGGTGGAAAAGTCGGGCGGGTCAATGGGCTTTGCAGATCCAGGCAGCGACCATTCCAATCTGGCGATACCTTCAGTCAGCTCAGATTACAACAGTAACGCTGCTTTCCGCCGCACCTATAGTTCAAACTCCATCAAAGTTCGAAATGTAGAAGTCGGCCCTGCTAGCTTTGACAAGATCAAATTGATCGGCAAGGGTGATGTTGGCAAAGTTTACCTGGTGCGCGAGAAGAAATCGGGCCGTCTTTATGCCATGAAAGGTACTTTTTTCTCTTGTATACCGGTGACTGTCTGATGCCATTTACTGACTTGCGGCTAGTTTTGAGCAAGAAGGAGATGATCAAACGGAACAAGATTAAACGAGCTTTGGCCGAACAAGAGATTCTGGCTACGAGCAACCACCCGTTCATTGTCACCCTATATCACTCTTTTCAATCAGAGGATTATTTGTATCTCTGTATGGAGTACTGTAGTGGCGGCGAGTTCTTCAGGAGTGTGTTCACCTTTTTATCCCATCTTCGACATCATCATCTTCTTGATTCCCTTGCTGACTTGTCCATTTTTAGCCCTGCAAACCCGCCCCGGCAAAAGTATTTCCGAGGATGCAGCTCGCTTTTACGCCGCAGAGGTTATTGCTGCGCTGGAATATCTCCATCTCATGGGTTTCATCTACCGTGACTTAAAACCGGAAAATATCCTTCTTCACCAGTCTGGTCATATCATGCTTTCTGATTTCGATCTGTCAAAGCAATCTGGACCTGGGGGTGCCCCGACGATGATTCCTGCACGCAGTGGTGGAAACTCCAATACCGGCTTGCCTACGATTGATACCAAGTCATGTATTGCCGATTTCCGCACAAATTCTTTTGTCGGGACGGAAGAGTATATTGCACCTGAGGTGATCAAGGGTTGCGGTCACACCAGCGCCGTTGATTGGTGGACCCTGGGCATTCTGATTTATGAAATGTTGTACGGCACTACTCCATTCAAGGGCAAGAATCGAAACGCGACGTTTGCTAGCATTCTGCGGGACGAGGTGAACTTTCCAGAGCACTCGGGTGCGCAGCCGACATCGACCATGTGCAAGTCTCTGATCCGCAAACTGCTGATCAAGGATGAGACTAAGCGCCTAGGAGCTCGCGCTGGTGCCTCTGATGTCAAGGCTCATCCCTTCTTCCGACAGACCCAATGGGCCCTTATTCGTCACATGAAGCCGCCTATGATTCCGCACCAGGGTCGTGCCGGCACGGATACGGTGAATTTCCGTAATGTCAAGGAGAGCGCTAGCGTAGATATTGGCGGCACCGATTCTACCAGGATGAAGGGCGTCCCAATGGATTCAGGCCTCGCAACTCCGAACGGCGAACTCAACGATCCCTTCGAGGAGTTCAACAGTGTCACCCTTCACCACGAGGGTGATATGTAAAGCCTGTGCTCTTCACGTCTTATCACTTGTTTTCTTTTATCCGATACACGAGGGAAACAGCCGTATGTGTGTCGGCTCGCAGACGACCATGATGCATTAACGACTGTATTTAGATGCTGCTATTCTTCTTCCATTGCAATCCTTGCTGGGTGTATGGAGTGTTTCGGGACTTTTTCTTGGTGGATCTATTCAAGCTTTTTTTTCTCCCCTTTTTTTCCTTTCATCACATTGTCATTATGCCTTATTGCTTGCCAGTTGCTTTGCATATTGCATTTTTCTTCACATCCTAGAGCCTTGGATTACTCTTGGTTGCCTTCAATTCAGGCACAACATAGCATCGACACGAACCGTTCGCTGACTTCATGGTTTGTGTCACGATCTCTGAGCTGTTGGTATTGTTTTCTTTGCGCGTCTTCCTGAAAACTGTTTTATATATTTGCTCTTTCATCCTATTTCGCAGCGGACGGCGTTACGGATTTGCTTTTTCGGGTTAACCGTGCTGTTTTCAATCTCAAATTTACGTTTTCAAGATAACCTCTGCTGTCAAGCTATGTATACGAAACTCGAAGCGATTTCATCATTTGGCTTTTGTTTCAATATACTTAATGATCCTCTTATGTCATTAAATTGTCTCTGCCAAGTAGGTGCGCCTATCATTTACACCATGTAGATGGCCAGCAATGTCAAACACAGGTATAATACTGACAGACGGAAATCAAGTCTCCATAAGATAGATCACAATAAAGCGAGAATTCAAAGCAGAAATATTGATAGGAGAAAAAAGGGTGTATCACAATTCCAAGCGATTTCAATTTGCAAAACAATACAAACTACATAATGGGTATCTCAAAAGCTCAACTCTATTAGAGCGAACATCTTCAATGCAAATGGGGATCTGCCGCATAAGCCTTCCGGCACTCTTCCAGGAGTTTTGCCTGTCTGGCCACGTGAGCGAGACGACCGATAACCTCCTTATTGCCATCATAGAAGGTAAAGACCGCATACGGAATGTTCACATCTTCACAGAATTCCCGAACGAACTGCTGCGTCTTGCGAAGATTGTGTCGCGGGATACGAGGATACAAATGGTGAATGGCCTGGAACTGGAGACCGCCATGGAAAAAGTCCAACCAAGGTGGGCAGTCGACGTCCATAGTAGTACGGAGCATCTTCTGGGGGAAAGATTCCAGCGGGCCAAGATCAGCAGTGGACATGGCGTAGTGCGACAGCGTAATCTGTACATGCAGCGGCGAAGTCACCATATGCGAGATCAGAACGAACACGACGCGGTTGAACCAAGTCGGAATGCTACACCAGACAACGCCATACCCGAACCAAATCCAGAAGAAGATGTGGCCGGCGAACTCAAACCAGCGGTGCCACCAGCCTGCGCCGTGTTTCGGCCCGCGGCCGACGATGATGTGCTCCCAGCTGAGGAAGTAGAGGTTGAAACGGCCGAAGAGAAGGATGGGGTAGTACAGATAGTGCTGGTATTTGACGGTGACCCTGGCCACTGCATCGTATTCCATGATGCGGTCGTAGTAGGTGCTGCGGAGCGAGCTGAAGAAGCGGTGCGATAGCGCGAAGAAAGGCATCAGTTCAATATCGGGATCGTGCTCGGGAGCGTTGGTTACGATGTGGTGGACGTTGTGGCTGCGCTTCCACCAGCCTAAGCTTAGGCCGCCTAGGTAATCGGCGATAATCATGCCGATGGTGGTATCAATCTGATAGTTATGCGTGATGCCCATGTGGCCGGCATCATGAGCGGAGAAGACAAGTTGGTGCCAGAAACAGCCGAGGAAGAAGGCAGACAGGCAGTACCAGGAATGTTTGAGGAAAAATACAAACAGCCCAAAGAAGAGGGTGTAGCGAGAGATCTCGATAGCGTAGGCTGTGTAGTTACAGTTGTACAGCCCTGCTGCGCGGATACGCTGGTGCAACTCGCGGTATCTCATTGTGATATATTCTTGGTGTTCTGCGTCAAGAGGCGGGTATTTAGATGCATCCAGCTCAATCTCCTCTTGAGTTCGAGCATCGATCACGTAGGCTCGTGGTTTGGTTTCTTCTGACGGAGAGACAGCGCTGATTGCAGAGGAGATTGTTGATACTGAGAGCCTGCGTCTTAGGCCCAAT